TTATTGTTGATTTATATATATATATACAGTATATATAATTTATATATTTATTATTATTATTACTACTGTTATTATTTCTTTTGATTATTTCTTTTGATTTTAAAATCAAATATAATATAACCCCGGACTCCATTCCAATATTATATATTTTTAAATGTATTATTTAATTTTTTATTTATATATGTATGTTTTTATAATAATACATAATTATATATATATATATACAGTGTATATATATATATACAGCGTATATATATAATTTATATATTTTTTATTATTACAACTATTATTATTATTTCTTTTATTTCTTTTGATTTTAAAATCAAATATTACCCCGGACTCCATTCCATTCCCTTCATCCTCTGTCAGCCTTTATTCTGCCCACCCTTTAACAAATTCTCAGCCGTGCTGTAAACAGATGAGGGGAGGTGAAAACCTGTCCTTCCCTCTCTCGCATTAGTTGACTAATGACGCCTTTAATTTGCCCTGACACACGCTGTTAATTGAATGCACCTTATTACAACTCAGCCTGTCAGAGACATTTCCACAGTTACCGACTGATGTTGCCACGGCATGAATTCCACGGATCTGTTCACTCAAGACTTGACGGGAAATAAAACTGCTTAATATTTTGCTCAATTAGCCGGTTTATGACAGGCTTGTGCAGCAAAACTACACTTCCCATAATTCTGTATGGCAGAAAACTCATTCTGGAGTCAGTTTGGACCAGATTAGATGCTTTTAAATGTCTCTGGTCCAGAGTTTCAGCCCTGTTTTGCATTTCAAGTTAATGTCATGTGACTGGAATGCCGTCTTCATATGACTTGTTAATTCGGTTTGCTGTTCAGCTTTGAAGAGTGTGCTGTGCTGAATAAGACACTTTCCTGCGCTTCTTAATCTATCTCAGCTCTGTCAACACTTCACACAAGGTTATTCCTTCACTCATGGACTCTTCTTGGAGTCTTCTTGACAAAATACACATTATACACTCTCCTCCACTGTCCTCAGTCAAGCTTAACCTTCAAGTTTGTATTAGAGCTGCAACGAACATTGATTGAGATCAAAGGTTGTAGAGAAAATGACCATCATTGATTGGTAATTGAGCTTTTCCAGTGCAGGCTACATATATGACAGGACCTCATCTTTATCTCATCTGCCAGCACACTAATCTGTTCAAATCACAGATATGTTCCCCCATCTGTTGCTGTTTGTATGGGGAAAAAAAGTGTCAAAATGGCCCCAAAAAGTCTAGAATCCAGGTCAAATTAAATAAAGAAAATCTAAATCTAATACAGCATTTTATTGTGGGCCATTATTATTATTATTATTATTATTATGAAAACCTATTTATTTAAATAAGTATGACTAATAAGCAGCTAGTAATAATAAATAAATACATATTTATACATTATAATACAGTAGTTTCTATTTATATATTTATTTATAAAATAATTAATCTAAGTAAATAATAAATAAAATAATGCAAAGTTATTATTATTATTAACATTAAAATTATTAATTTACAAAAAGTAAAATTAATAATAATAAATAAATGACATTTCATTAAAAAATCACTATTTATGAAAACAATTCTAATAAATATTGTAGTGTAATGCAAAATCTTTTCTTACTTTTATTATTATAAAAATAATCTTATTTTAATTTAGTAATAATAAATACTAAAGTATAAGTATATTCTATAAGTAAATATTTTATAAGTAATATAAATCATTAGTTATAATATTTATTTATTAAAATAATTATAAATGATCCAATAACAAATATTTATTAATTTAATCATTCATTTATGAAAAACAAAAAAAATCATAAACTTAAAAAAATTATATTAATGAACTCAAAAATAAATATAAAATTTTTAAAAAGCCTGATTGTAACACTCTTGATTGAACCCACAGGACTCCGCTCAGGAAGCCGTCATCACCAGAGACATCCATCGCACCTTTCCTGCTCACGACTACTTCAAAGACTCAGGCGGCGATGGCCAAGACTCTCTCTACAAGATCTGCAAGGTGAGGTGAAAGCTGCTCATCCTGCAGGCATGACTCACTCCTGTCATCTGGTAACAAGCATCACGACACTGCTGCAACATCTCTATCCACTGACCTTTTGTTTTGCCGTAATACAAACGGCCTCGATAGATACAGGTATCCAACCACATGCTGTACTCGCCTCCCTGTGTCCTGCGTCTGTGAAAATGAGAACTCGTACACTCTGCTAGTTAAACAGTTATGCATCATGCATCCGTTATTATATTTAGAAACAAAGCTAGAGTAATAGATTATGCAGTTATCCAGCAGGCAATTATCCAGTTAAGCACACATCTATCTCTATATAATTAAACAGATGGTTCTGGCTGTAAAATCCGAATGAATGAGACACATAAAACAAAGCAGTCTTAAAATACACGCACCTTTGACCAGAAATCAGTTGAATTCAGTATTAGTGCATCGTTATGTTGCTTGACCATTTTAATTCATAAATAAACTTTATTGCTTGGCAAAGTAATACATTTTAATCATTTTAAAATATAGAATAATAATATAATATATAAAAATACATTTTATAAAAATCTTACAATATACATTTTGATTATAATTGTAAAAATTGTATATTAAATTTAATATTATAGAAAAACTGGGCAAAAGCATTGAGTGGATAAGAAAAGTGGTGCGGTGGTCCTGTTTTCTGTTAAATCTCTTTTGTGAGGAGTCTTAATAGGTTCTCCATTAGCTGACTGGCACCGACAGATTAAAGGCCTCCTAAATTGTGCAAAAGACCTTCAATCCAGCTAATCCTGGAGACAAACCCCCTCAGCTCGGAGTGGCATATGTTGCCATGAGCGTTTATCAGTGTTTCCAGTCATTTATGACGAAGCTTGTGATTTAAAGACAACATGAAGCTGCATTCACAACACATGTAACTTTAAATTGTGACGTGTTTATTCATTTGAAAATGTTTAGTAAGGCTGTATTTATACATCGAACATGCTTTATTTCTCTATAAATAAATATTTTTTTCTCTAAGTAACTTTCTATATAAAACATTTCTCTATAATTTTATTATTTTTGATTAAGTAAAAAAAAAAAGGTTCAGAAACCGAGAAATATCATTACGTTCTCATAAACAAAAAATATTTAATTATTTTTTCCTTGACATTGGTACTCAATATCTGAACTGATGTTTTTTCCACAGGCTTATTCTGTGTATGATGAAGAGATTGGATATTGCCAAGGTCAATCATTTTTGGCAGCCGTATTACTTTTACATGTAAGTATTTTGCATGACCAGCACTGTTTCATCTAGGGATGCACCGAATGTTCGGCAACCGAAATTATTCGGCCGGAAATAGCAAAAAAATCAAATCAAATAAGCGAAAAGGCCGAATAATATGTACCGAACAATGACTAAGGCGATCAAATAGAGGCACGCACTAATGCAGCAAACATGTCGGCAGTGTGAAAGTATTTAAAACTATCAGAGAAAGACGCAGAAATCATTACTAGCATGAAGCACTGACAGCGAGAGACTGTTTAGTGCTGCATCACATGTCTCCGATGAGAAGAAGAGGTGGCTGATGCTGGTGGTTAGGCTACTTTGAGGATTGAAATCGCAAAATGGCCTCAAACGATTAGTAAATAAACTGCAGAGTGTTATATTTTCTAATGCACGCACAAATTGCATTTATTCTGAGAGCGCTGCACGAGCTCGCGGCGCCAGGGTTCAAAGTCCAAAGCAAGAGGAAAATCTGTGTTGACGCTGTTACTCGTCAGTTGCTCAGTAACATTTTTTGTGAATTTTTTTAAAGGCATGTGACAATGTGATGCATGCGACAAACATCTTCCCAAATTCGTAATGAGAATCATTTATAAATCTGCTGTTGTCAACAAAAAGAAGCACTGAGATCTTCCTGCGGGTTTCTGTCAAAATAAAAGCAGAGAAAAAACAACAACTCCATCAACATTCATAAATGATAGTATTGTAATTTTACTGTTGTTCTGTAAAATAAAATAAAAAAGTAAGAAAATAATAATGATAATAATAATTACCCTACAACAGCTCTATTAAAGGGGTCCTATTATGCTTTTTCACTTTTTCAACTTTAGTTAGTCTGTAATGTTGCTGTTTGAGCATAAAAAAGATCTGCAAAGTTACAAAGCTCAAAGTCCAATTCAAAAGGAGATATTTTATTTAACAGAAATCACTTTTCAAAAACTACAACGAATTACTCATTTGGACTACAAAGCATATTTTCCGGGATTTGTGATATCACAAATATCGACGAATGGGACGAGACCTGGTTGAGCTGCAGTAGAGAAGGCAACGAGTGTTATCACTATGTCGGAGACTCGCTAGCTTTCCCAAGACAGACGAACTTAGAGTGGTTCCAATCATCTGGGTTTAAATCGCGCTCAAATTGATTTGATTTGATTTTGACGCAATATTTACACTGAAGCTGGCAGGCGACTATGGTAAGGGACATGACATTTCCTGACCAGGCGCCGAGTGTGACAATCACAGCACACACTAGCCCAGCTAACCAATCACAACACGCACTGGCCCAGCTAACCAATCACAACACACACACTGGCCCGTAACATTCATACAGTGTTCAAATTGGGATCTGTAATATATTCTAATGTTTTAAAAGAATTCTCTTCTGCTCAGCAAGGCTGCCTTTATTTGTACATTAAAAAATACATTCCTGATTCAAGTCTCAAAAATAGCCAAAAAATATTATTATTATTATTATATTTTAAGTTAAATTGTGCTTTGTTGGTATAATGTCTGCTAGAATGATAAATAAATGTTCAGTGTTAAGTAAATATTTTTAAATTGTTGTTTTGTAATTAATTTTTTATTTGAAAAGCAGGACAAAACAGTAAAAAGCACATTTTGGCTATTTAATTTATGCAATGGTGAAAAAAATTGGCAAAATAGGTCTACATGGGGGGGAAAATGCGAAAAACCGTATTCGTTATTCGGCCTTCGGCCCAGTGTTTCATTTTGTTCGGCTTCGGACAAGAATTTTAATTTCGGTGCATCCCTAGTTTCATCCATGTTGCCTGTGTAACCCCCACCCCTAGCGTCAGTCGCTATCGCGCCTCTTGAGATCAGGGGAGTGAGGTTTACCTGCACAGCACCTACCAGCTGGCCTCCGTTACACTTGCACAGATAAGTATTTTAAATACACATATTAAAGCCAAGTAAGTCTATGACAAGTTTAAGTATTAAACTGCACTATACATCCATGTTAGAGACGTGAATGTTAGCTCAAATCATGTAGCTTTGTTTTATTAATGATTTTATTATTTTATTTGAATGTAGTTTTATTCATTTATTATTCTTTTTATTTCATTTTGAGACACTAACCCAAAAATACAAAGTTACATGAATGCAGGCTTTCACGTTTGTGTGAAATTTGTGAATTTATACTGCAAAAGAGGTACATGTTACTTTCTCTTAGCAGGCATTATGTAAACATCCTTTTAGGTCGGTTTTATCTTTAAGCTCAACTGCTGTGCTGGTAAATCAGCAATTTGAAGAGTTTTTGAGAGAGCTTGCTAACTAAATAATAAACACTAATAAAAGTGTAAATAGAAACCTACCTCATTGTGCCTTATCTTTGACTTTTTGAGGCTTGTTATTGAGCTAATAGTAGGTGGAGAGAAACAGGAAGCGAGGGAAGGACATTGATGAAACGGTTAATTCCATATTTAATTAAAGCGAGGGCTGAATAAGATGGCGTTTTTTGTTTTTCTGCGACGCCAGCCCTTATGGGGCTTGATATTAGAGCACGTTTGGGGATTTCTATAATGTAGTGTAAGTGTCTTCCTCGTGGCCTTGCCCAGGAAGCTCAGGAGCTGTCAGGAATATTAATGACGGAGCCCATCTACCTGCTGGAGCCCATTGAACTCGGGACACACAGCATGTCTGCGTGATTTAATACCCAGCTCTCTGTCTGTCTCGCTCTCCGTCTCAGAAACACAAACAAACTCTGATAGCATCACTGTAGACTGCTACAGACAGGTAGACGGACAGTTGACTCATCTAAACATCATGGGTTGGTTGTGTTTATTGAGCCCTATTCATGCAGAAAGCATTTGCATCTGAAATATCATGGCAATATCTCTCGCTTTTTCTCTTTAGATGCCTGAAGAGCAAGCTTTCTGCGTGCTGGTGAAGATCATGTACAACTACGGTCTTCGAGAGCTCTACAGAAACAACTTTGAAGATCTTCACTGCAAGTTCTACCAGCTGGAGCGTCTGCTGCAGGTTTGGCTTTTGAGTGTTTGTTAAAGGAATAGTTCACCAAAAAGTGAAAATTTGCTGAAAATGTACTCACCCTCAGGCTATCCAAGATGTAGACGAGTTTGTTGTTTATCAGAACAGCTTTGTTGAAATTTAGCATTACATCACTTGCTCACCAATGCATCCTCTGCAGTGAATGGGTGCCGTCAGAATGAGAGTCCAAACAGCTGATAAAAACAACACAATAGTCCACACCACTCCAGTCTATCAATTAATGTCTTGTGAAGTGAAAAGCTGTGTGTTTGTTATAAACAAATCCATCAATAAGATTTTTTTAACTTCAAACTGTTGCTTCTGGCTAAAATATGAGTTCTCTATCCATAATATTGCTTTCTCCAGTGAAAAAGACTACGTTTTGTGAGCGGTCGCACTGGCTCGACCATCGCGTTGTTCAACTCATAAGCGCTGCCATTTCTGTTGCATATGAGAAACATCAAACGGCAAACAAAGCTGAAAGCATAACGAAAATGCGCTACTCGTTTGAACTGCACAGCGCTTCGAGTGTAGAGCCTGGTTTATACTCGCCGTGTCGGCACGAGTGCGAAGGTGCGCGCGGCAAAAATGATGTGAAACGATGGATTGTTTTCAAGCTAAAGTAAAGTAAAAGACAGCTTATCTTTGCTGTTTACCTCACGTTACGCTATGGAAGGCTCTCTTTTATTTTTTTAGGCCATCTGATTCCTCAGTGTTTGCTAAACGTTCTGTAATTTATTAGTCGGTATATAATACAGCATGTGGTGTATGCCATGCCTCATCTTATTCGTGTTTGTTAATAAATGTTTTTAAGCTAGTTTGTCATTCTATCTTACTGTTTTATTGTTGTTGTGCTTTTAATTAAGAATAACAATGAATCCATCTTTTGTTTTAGTCTTAAAAAGTGAATGGTGTGTAGATGTATGTAAGCAAAACAGACAATTATCTTTTGTGTGACAACACAATTTATCTTTTAAAATGTGACAACAATATCACGTATTCAAAAGTGAAAGTGCATGAAGCCTGGCTTATAACATAGCAAAAAAGGAACTCACAGTTCGCAAATAATACTACTGATGAAAAAGAACGGGTTGAATGTTAACCACTTTCGTTTCCGTATAACTATAAACTATGATAAAAGTTCATCAACATGCATTGATTAATCCCATGTTGTAGCGCAAAAAGAAAAAAAAATGATTGCGACCAAATCATGTTCGTGCAACCAACTGAGAAAGTTATTCGCAAAAGAGCGACCAGTGGGAAGAATGAGTCTGGAGCCCTGACAGGGGATGGACTTTTTCACTGGAGGAAGCGTTGTTATGGATTATGAACTGGCATTTTGGCCAGAAGCGATGGTTTAAAGTTAAAGCGCTATCATGATGGATTTGTTTCTTATAAATATGCGGCTTTTGACTTCATACGGCAATTGATGGACTGGAATGTTGTGGATTACTTGTGGATTATTGTGATGTTTTTATCAGCTGTTTGAGCTCTCATTCTGATGGCACCCATTCACTGCAAATGATCCACTGGTGAGCAAGTGATGTAATGCTACATTTCTCCAAATCTGTTACCTTGAAGAAACAAACTCGTCTAGATTTTGGATGGTTAGTAAATAAAATGTTTTTTTGTAAACTATTTCTTTAAGAGATTGCATCGCACACAGTCTTGTACACCCCTTGTCAGGCCGTACTTGTGCATCTCAAGTGTAAGCGGTGGCCCTCTAAGCTATTAGACCTAATGCGCTGGAAAATGGGTTTTAATTTTGTGGTGAAATGCAATTAGGCTTGAAGTAGCCCTCTTTCAGCGCTAAACCCAATCCGGTTAGTATTGACTAGCTCTGCTACTACAAGAGTGTTAGCATCGATCACGGATAACGTGCCATACGGCACTCTCTGGAAGAATTCCCGTCTCTTCCTCAGTCGTCATTTACTTTGCATGTGTTAACCCAACTCTCCCACCTCTCCAATCTAACAATGCAATCTACCCCAGAAAAATATTCACTCTTGAGCTCCGGGTCTTTTGAGATGCTAATTTAAGATGTGCCTGTGTAGATATCAGTTACCTCTTTAATTTATTCTCTACCTGGTCTCTGAATACATAGTGTAACTCCTCTTTTTGAGGCAAGCATCACTATTGCTTTTTCTCATGCTTAGTTTTGAACCTCTAACTTTGCATGTCATTTGTCCTGCGCCATACTTGTTATAAACATTTCCTTAAATTGTGTAGCTTGTTAAAGAGCGGCGATGTATTATTTTATATTTAATTTAATTTATTTTCATTTAATTATGTATTTTTAATCATTTTATTTATTTGTATTTATTCATTTTTATTATTATTTATTTATTTTTATTTTGGGGGGGGGGGTTCCCTCTGGGCTATAGAGGTGTGAACCTTTAGGTTGACAGCAAATTGACAAGTTTTATTTTGATTCGAAAGTGATTTTTGTGAAGTCCACAAATTTTACTAGATTAATAGTGACTAAGTGTATCTTAGGCAAGAAAATAAGTGCTTTCTCAGTTTTGGGTTTTCCCAGTGCAGCGTTGAAGAAACTTTTACTTCATCATTGTTATTTCTGTATTGCCTCAGCAAAGCACTGAACATTTCTCTATTGATACTCCTCATAACCTCTGGTTTAAACACACAAAAAAAGCACATTCTTATGAACTCAGCAGCACAAATACTCAAACTCAAGGAGATCAAAACACTCGTAGGTCATTGAATTATTAGCTATTGTTTGTGTAATGTGCTTTATAACTGCACTCTTGACCCTGTGCTGTAGTCCAGTAGTCTTACAGTTCCAATAGAAATGGTTTGAAAGCTTGTGGAAAGAAAAGGGTCAGTAGTCTATTATTCTTTTTGTTTGGAAATACTTCCTGCTCAAGTTCCTTCACTTTTGCTTCCAAAAAATAAATACAATGTCATCTGAATAACCCTAACATATAATAAAACCAGTTATAATGCATATTTCTTTCCCTTGCACTAATTGTCCCTGTTTCTCTCCTCCTCCCTCGTTCCAGGAGCAGTTGCCTGACCTGTGGTCTCACTTCCAGGACCTGAACCTGGAGGCCCATATGTACGCGTCCCAGTGGTTCTTAACACTGTTTACCGCCAAGTTCCCTCTCTGCATGGTCTTCCATATCACCGACCTGCTCCTGTGCGAGGTGATATATCTTCCTCCAGTCACAAAATTACAGTAACCAAAAGTAATTTAACCAATGAGAAGTCACTGTTTCTAACTCAACATAATTAGAAACCGTGTTTAGAGACATAGGTGCTATAGTTTAAAGTAATACTTTACAATAGGTTTCAATTCATGAACACGAGTTAGCATTTAGTGATTGTTCCTGTTAATTATATAAATATAAATATACTTTGCATCCTTCATTTGTTCATAATACATTAATATAAATCTATGCAACTTGAAATGTTAATAATGTAATATTATATGTACAAATGTACATAAACCTAAATTAATGAATGCTGTTGAAGTACTGATCTTTGTTAGTTCATGATATTTAATGCTTGTTAATAAAATCAGGGAAATTTATAAAATCCATAAAAAGTGATGCAAAATTATCTAGTTACCCTGAAGTTTAGGCTAAATGATTTCATTAGCTAGAAGTTGCTCTTTGTGAGTGCAGTCTCTTCAAATGGATTAATATTGTTTTTTTTAATCCTTATCCTAATTATGAATGACTGCGAAAGTTATGAAAATTAATAAAACCCGTAAAATGTTGTGGAAATGCTCAGATTTAAAATACTGGCTTCTTTGTGAGTGATTATTATTATGATTACTCACAATTATTATATTATTTATACAGTTTGAAATGTAAAAAATTTAATCATATGTAGAAATTTACGTTAACCTAGAATAATAAATGATGTAAAAGTATTCCACTTTGTTAGTTTATGATACCTAATGCTAAACTTTTATTAATAACATATTACAAAAAGTAATAGAGATATGTGTAGTTATGCTCAAGTTGATTTCATCGGCTAGAAATTGGTCTTTGTGAGTGTAATCTCTACAGGAAAAAAAATTTAAGTATTACAATTTGTAAATTCATGATAAATTATGCTCACCCTAGAAATAAACTTAAAAGATTTAATAACTTTTTTTATTGCTTTTTTTTTATGTATTTCTTTTCTGGATAAATAAATATTGAAGTTTGGTTTCCAGTAGCACATGAAACTGACGGAAAGTTCAGTTGTTTCTAAACTTCTTGAACTTGTTAGATTTCCCAAAGCAAGCATCTTTGACTTCTCAGAAATAGGCTTTGTGTCTTTCCAAAAGAAACGCTTCGACCTTTCTGCTCCTCAGAGAGCTTTTCCTTTTATTTTTTTCCCATCACTTTTCTCCCCTTTTCCTTTCATTCAGCGTCTGTGGTAGCCCGAGGCAAGACAATTAAAAGTTTCCTCAGCCTGTCTCAGTCAATGAATCGCATGATGAGAATCTGTTAGATGCTTGTGAGACACCTCTCTCTCTCTCTCTCTCTCTCTCTCTCTCTCTCTCTCTTTAGTTCATCTCTAATACATTTAGTGTTCTGCCTTCTTTTGAGGCTCTGGCTCTACTGTTAAGTAACTCATAGAGATCGTAGTCTTTCTTATTCATGCATCTCTCCCTATTCATATTTACATTTAAATTTATTTGTATTCAGTTTTTTTTTCTTCTGTAATATACACTGTTCTAAAGAAGCTGTAAAATCATCACATCTAAAGATGTTGGGCACAAAACCAGAAAGCGTTGTAATATGTTTGTTCTGCAAAGAACATTAATCACAAGTGGACAGTAAAGACACGGTTTTAATATTTCAAATACATGCTGTTCTTTTTAACTTTCTACTACTCAAAGAATGAGTGAAAAAATATATCACCATTTCCACAAAAAAATATTATAACTGTTATAATAAAATATATATATAAAATATAATAACTGTTTTCAGCATTGATTATAATAATGAGAAATGTTTCTTGAGCAGCAAATAAGCATATTAGAATCATTTCTAAAGCATCACGTGTTACTTAAGACTGGAGTAAAGATGCTGAAAATTCAGCTTTGCATCCCAGGAATAAATTACATTTCAAAATATATTCAAATAGAAACTAGTTATTTTAAATTGTGATAATTTCCCAATATTACTGTTTTTACTGTATTTTTTGATCAAACAAAAGAGACTTCTTTCAAAACATAAAAAAATCGTACCGACCCCAAACTATTCTCAATAGTTAATGCAATTACTACAATTTTTGAACTTTCTAATTCTTCAAGCTATTGAAGAATGAATTGCTCAGGTTGTTGTAAATTTCTTTGCTTGATGTAAATGTAAATACTAATAGTTTTGCTAGTATAAATTCTAACAAGCAATCGTAGTATTCATATTTCTTGCATAACCAAAGCGTTCAGATCCCAAGCCAAAGAGTAAAGTCTTATCCCTCCCTCAACAAATACACACACACACACACACACACACACACACACGCGCACACAATTATCCACCCCCCCCATTCCATTTAGCCCCCTAGCGCCATCTAGAGTCTGTCGAGGGAAAGATTGCCTCTGCCTTCTGTTATTAATAGAGAAGGCAGGATATTTATAGCTCGGTGTTGCCATGTGAACGGGTTGTCTAAGCAATGCCAGAGAGGGTGTTTCCATGCGGAGCTGACTTCAGCATTGCTTCTCCGCTGGCTACTGAGATGCCACCTGCTCCCCTCAGACACACACACCCATACACATACACATACACAGCACCTCCATCCTTCACATCCACCTGCCTGTCAGTCCACCTGAGCATGTGCGAGCGAAATTGTTTGCCTCTTCCTTCAGCTCCTGTCACTCCCACACATTTAAGCTCTTTGTATGATTCAAGCTATTTTAGGAGATGCAAATGTGCTCGACATCACACTTCCCATTGCTAGTAGAGTGCAAAGACAGCATTACAGCTCCTACGAACCATTTAAATGAAATTGCATCATCTTTATTACAATAAAACACCTTTGTATGTGGCCCGTTTTGTACTTCCAGGCAGTTTGATGTTCAAAGAAAGGATTCTGTGTATGTAAAAAAAATTTTTTCATTGTCCTCACAGGGGTTGAACATCATCTTCAATGTGGCGCTGGCTCTTCTGAAGGTACTGCACCTCATCATGATACATTTCCAATAGTTCAGAAAAATCTGGGAAATTCACAATTGTGGTTTACAGGATGGAAAAGTTAGGGGAAATAAATGTTTGATCATTTTAATTATCTTTCTATTTTTATATGTTCAGTTTTTATTTTAATTTTAGTTAATTTTTCATTTTAATTTTAATTTTAATTTAAATTTTATAATTTAGTTGTCATATTTATCATAATTATTAGTTGTTGGTTTTTTTTTTTTTTGCTTTATTTTTATTCCAGTTTTAGTCATTTTAGTACTTCAGCTTAAACTTATTTCAGTTAGTTCCCAAAGCACCATTTCTTATTTTCATTTACGTTTTTTATCTAAAATATTTTATTTTATTTCAACTTTATTTTAATACAATTGAAAACAATTCTCAGTAGTTTTAATTGTATTTACCAATAACAACACAATTTTTTGAGTGCAGTATTTTATTTTTAATTTATTCATTGAATTTAAATCCTTATCCGTATCATAAAAAGTAACGGAATTTCATATGTTAAAATGTGGGAAATCTGTTGCATGATTTAAGGTTTTTAGTACAGCAGCTCCGTAGGTAAAAAAAGGAAAATATTGAGTGTGTCTCTCTCTGCTGGTCAGAATAAATATTGCCTTGCCTTATTTTTTCATCCAAATCTTTGCGTGTAGCTGTTCAGAGCTTTCTGGTTTCATAGGTTTTACTATGAGCAATATTAAACAAGAAACTGAAACTATTTTATATATATATATATAAACAGGGCTGGGGAGTAACGAAATACATGTTAACAGCGTTACGTATTTAAAATACAAAATATGAGTAACTATTTCGTTATAATTACATTTTAAATAGGTGGTAATCAAATTACAGTTATCCGAAAAGTAGCCTATTTTAGATTAGGCTACCAAAGTGATTACTTTGAATTTAAATATAATTTCTTCATTTAATATTTAAGTAAACAGTTTGGGGATTTCAACCAATAAGGCAACTGATTCTCTGTTGAAAAAAAAAAACTGCGTGCGGCAACTGATTGACACCGAATTCTCCTAGAATTCACACTTTGCATTCAGTTAACAGATCCATACGAATCATGCATGAAATAAAAGTTTATAAAGTCAAACGATAGCTTTGTGTTGCTTTACAGATGAACCTGAAGTCTTTATTCATTCGAAATGTTCAAGAATAGATCACCTTTGGCGTGGTAATGCGAATTGGAGTTCATGATCCGATTCGTGAACAGATGATTCTTTTGAGTCAATCTTTTAAATCAATCATTTCTTTTGTTTAACGAAACCAGTGTGAATGGTTCACAAACTGGATAGATCTGAGGTGTGTTTCCCAAAAGCATCGTTAGCGAACTGTGGTTGTTAAATTACATTGAACTATAATGACATTACTTGCGACCGTAGTTGCTTTCGGAAACGAGCCCAGTCAATTTTGACTCGGTGATTCTTTTGTGCCGATCACTTCTCCATAGAGAGGATTATCAGTGAAGTAATAACTTAAAGTTTGGTCCATTCATTAAACAAATCTATTGTATAACTTGGAGAACTTTGCCAGTTGTTTTGGCTACTTTTATGACATGTCTGGTGTCGTTTTGAAGCTTGGAATGCAGCATGAAACAGCACGGAATCCCATTCATTGTATTCAAATTGAATTTATAGGCTATTGATAGATTTAAATGACATAACTTTTTTTGTTATTGTTCATAGAAATGCTGTGGAAAACTGATGCTGTTAAAAATAAAATGCAAAGAAAACTCAAATCTTATGACTGGTAGATGTCACTTTTTTATTTAGAGTTGGAAAACATAAAAACAAGGCATCGGTTTAATATGTTCCTTTGTGTTACATAGCTTAAGTATTTTAAAGTATTCTAAAGTATTTAGATTACATTACTAAACCTGAGTAATCTAACGAAATACATTACTGATTACTTTTTAAAGCATGCATTTTGTAATCTGTAGTGAAATACAT